AAGGCATGTACGTTTTAACTTTTTTTTTTTTTAAGGATTTTTTTTTTATTTTAGAGAGAGAGAGCATGTGCAGGTAGGGGAGGGGCAGAGGGAGAGAGGGAGAGAGGGAGAGAGAGAGAGAGAGAGATTTCTGACAGGGCCTGACCGTTGGAGAAACCAGTCAGCAAATGTTGGCCCGGTCCAGCCCTCACCCCCAACAGCCGAGGCCTGAATGCACCCGGGGTGTCACTGGCCAGCAACCTCATTACCTAGTGGAGCCCCTTCTCCATGGACAAGCCTGTGTCAAACCTACAGCACTCTCCTAAAGTCAGGTTTAAGCTCAGGGGAGATTTAATCCAAAAAGTTTGACATTTAAGGGTCACGTACTCTTCCCAATGGCTTCATCGTAGCCCATCTTTTGGGAATCTGGATAAACTTGGGGAAGGGTCTAAAAATACACCCACATGGCCCTTCAGAAGACCTCTAACAGATCTGGCTTCTTTATTTTTTATTATTTGAAAAAAAATTTTTTTTTTCATTTTTATTTAGTTTTGAGAGACAGAGAGACAGAGCATGAACAGGGGAAGGGCAGAGAGAGAGGGAGACACAGAATCGGAAGCAGGCTCCAGGCTCTGAGCTGTCAGCACAGAGCCTGACGTGGGGCTTGAACTCACAGACCGCAAGATCATAACCTGAGCCGAAGTCGGACGCTCGACTGACTGAGCCACCCAGATGCCCCTCATTTTACTTAAAAAAAATTTTTTTTAATGTTTATTTATTGTTGACAGAGAGACAGAGCACGAGCAGGGGAGGGGCAGAGAGAGAGGGAGAAACAGCATCGGAAGCAGGCTCCAGGCTCCGAGCCGTCAGCACAGAGCCCGACGCGGGGCTCGAACTCACAAACCGTGAGATCATGACCTGAGCCGAAGTCGGACGCTCAACCGACTGAGCCCCCCAGGCGCCCCAGATCTGGCAGCTTTAATGAGTCATCTGCCAGTCCCACAACATCCAGTGAGGCAGGTGCCACTGACGAGAACACTGAGGTTCAGGGAGTTCCCATCACTGCCAAGCAAGAGTGCACTGGACCCCTGGGCTGTCAGCTCACACTTGATCCAGGGCAACTAAGAGGGGAGTTTTCTGGGTTTTATTCTAAGGAATGCTTATAAAAGCAGCTGTACCGGGGCACCTGGGTGGCTCAGTCAGTTAAAGCATCTGACTTCAGCTCAGCTCAGGTCATGATCTCATGGTTCGTGAGTTCAAGCCTCACCTTATGCTCTCTGCTCTCCTGCAGAGCCTGCTTCGGATTCTGTGTCTCCCTCTCTCTCTGCTCCTCCCCTGCTCCCTCCCTCTCTCTCTCTCTCTCTCTCTTAAAATAAATAAATATTTTTAAAAGACAGCTAGGGGCACCCAGGGGATGGCTCAGTCAATTAAGCGTCCAACCGACCCGCACAAGTCATGATCTCGCGGTCTGTGAGTTCGAGCCTCGCATCAGGCTCTGTGCTGACAGCTCAGAGCCTGGAGCCTGCTTCCGATTCTGTGTCTCCCTCTCTCTCTGCCCCTCCTCTGCTTGTGCTCTGTCTCTCTCTCTCTCTCTCTCTCTCTCTCGCTCAAAAATAAATAAACATAAAAAAAAAAGGCAGCCGTATCACAAATCCTCCTTGCAGCTCCCCCACCCCACCCTGAGCACAGCCCATCCGCCTTCCCAGTCTGCAGAAGAAACTGAGTGTTCAGAGTGGGGCGGAATCGGGACTAGGAGAGGAAAGCCAAGGGCCCCTCTCACCGCAGCCAGACTCTGACAGGGACCTGCCGGAGGCGTGTGGCACCTCCGGGCTGCTCAGATTCCCACAGACTTAAAGGGCTCCGCGCTTGGGGGCTCAGCAAAAGGTGTTTCCTCTCTAGAGGCTTACAAAGCTGGAGCTGTTAGCTGGCGATTTTCATTCAGGGTCCTCAGCCCAAGCTCTTCGCGGACTTTATATGACGTCCATTTTTGCTCTTCGGAGCCTTGCAGTGACCACTTAGAAAATCGTGCTTTTCATTAGCCACATCCTTGGGGCATGGGGACCCCGCTGGCGGATACCACAAGATGGCCAGTCCCTGTGCAGATGTGGCCAAGTCCAGGATCCTGAGATTAACTCCCATGGGTTCGTTGACTAAATGAAGGCAAACGCACGACTGTTCCCAAGATGGCCTGTGTGTGGCCCAGATCCCCTTCCCCTGTGAAGGCCTCGTGGGCCTGTCTGCTCTCACTTCCCGCGGACCACTCAGCTCCAGCCCCACGGGCCCTTTCTCTGAAACTTGAATGTGTCCAGATCGTTCCAGCCTCAGGGCCCAGGCCCTTGCCATCCTGTCTTCCTACAACATACTCTCTGGGTCTTTGTGCACTTGGACTCCCATTTGGACCTCAGCCAGATGTGACCTGCCCAGAGGCCATTCTGGACCCAAACCAGCAGGCTCCCATCACTTGGTTTGTTTTCTTCATCGTACTTATGATGCTCCGCGGTGGTTATGTATCTGTGCGCTGTCTCCCTCTCTAGAATGTAAACGTTGGGAGGGCAGGGCCCCTGGATCCTTGCTTGCCGTGTATTATAGTGGCCAACACAGTGCCTGGCACAGCACGGATGCTCCGTAACTATCCACTGGACAGATCGCTGGGAAGGGCTTATTTCTGTATTAGTTTCTTATTTAGGTGAAAACACTCGTAAATATTTAGGATTGGAAAGCTGTGTGACAGATTCTTAACCCATTTTGTGCTTAATCTGTATTTATCCTGAAACAAGGCACTGGTTTCCCAGATCAGAGAACAGATGCATTATCTGTTCACACGGTGATCGGAGTGCTGGCTCCCCGCACCCGAAATCCTCGTGGGGCCATGCAGTGAGAGCCAACATACCCTGTGTAAACAGGGATCTGTAGCCTGGGGGACAAGCCCTGACGTTATGACTCTTGGAGCTTGCCCGAGCCTCTCCCGAGGTCTCTGTGTTTAAGTCTCAAGGCTCGTTTGAAGCCGGCCTCCTGCATCGCCGGCCAGCAGTCTGTTCTCAGAGCACCGTGACCACGGGGGACACGTGGACACATTCAGTATGTTTTACTTCCCAACATGCATCTCCCGAACCAAAACGTATCAGCCACCATCTCTGAGTGGCTGCCACGTGCCTGGAAATTTGTGTGCACCGTGAACCCCGTGGGGACAGATCCTGTCATCCTTTTTTGTCAGGTGAGCAAGCTGACCCTTGGAGAGGTCGAGTGACCAAGTGAGGTCGGTCGGCGGCACCTGAGGGCAGGGCTGAGACCCTAGGTTTGCGTGCCCCTCAAGCCCGAGTTCTCTCCTCTCTCCCGCCCGGGCTCCCCAGAGTCTGGGCAAGTTGCTTTTAACGTGTTTGGTGAGTTGCAGTGGAGCTTTTGGAAAAAGAAGCCTCCGGTCTATTTATCATTCCACACCTACTGCGTGCTGGGCACTACGTTAATCATGAGGGGGGGGAAATGAGGTGGGCGTGGTCTTTTCCCTCCTGGAAAAGTCTTATTCCTCATGGAAAAGACTTCCATTGTCTTTTGGGAGAGGCAGACATCACAAGAGGACAGCCGATGACGACGATGACAATGACGATGACAATGACGAGGGTAGCAAGTGAAGTAACCCAACCTGGCAGCAACCCCTGGGGCCCTTCCACTGGGGCCCCTGAAGGTTGAATGGAAAGTCTTGCCCCAGGCAAGGTGTGGGGGAGGGGCTTTCTGGAAGGAGGGACTGGCAGACTCAAGGGGAGGTGAAGAGCTGAGGGAGAGTCACCGGGGAGGGAGTCAGGAGTCAGGGACTAAAAGGGACTGCTGGCCTTGGGGGAGGGGACTGTTCTTATCCTCCGAGCACTGGGGAGCCACAGCAGCCGTAAGCAGGGGGAAGAGAGGGGATGAGCTGCAGCAAGTTCTCGTTCATGCCAGGTGTTCTCTCTAGGGCGAATGCCCCTTTCCGATCTTTCCTCCGGCCTGGGGTAGAAAGGCTGGAAGGTGCGGGAAGGGACAAATTCAGGGAAATGTGAACCTCTCAGATAAGGCTTTTGGGCCTTGGGGCAAGAGCGCAAGCAGCACGTCCTGGCCCTGGAGGAAGACGGCCGTTTCTGCGTCTCCCACCGTGTGCTCGCCTGGCCGTCAGTCTGGGGCCTTCTGGCAGGTTCCGATGTGCGCACCAGGGCCACTTGCCCGACGCACGGATGGCCGTTTGGCATGGCGGCTGGGCCTCTCCCGAGAAGCTGCCCAAGACCCTCGCCGCAACTCCAAGAAGCCCGCTCGTCGGGGGCCACATCCATAGCAAACACGGGTAATATGTACCAAGTATTTCTGGAAAAATGGGTGCAAAGTGCAGGAAATGCAGTGCAAATTGCTCGAAGGGAGCACATCAGCAACATGGGACGTTTAATGAGCCTGGGAGGCGAGGTGTACATTTTGGGAAAACGTGAACTGCGGTAACGTAAACGAGCATCCTCTCAAGATCTCGTTCTCCTCGAGACTGCGTTTCAGTCTCTGGTTGTCACCACAGCTGCAATTCTAGAGGTCTGATTCTAGACATCAAGGAGGGGAGAAGCGGAGGAAGGAGAGAAGCAGGGGTTGCCTATGCGTCGCAAATTAGCAGAAGACATTCAGAGTAAACCTTCACCGGGGGCCTGCTGTGTTACCCCGAAAAGCCTCTTGCTGCAAAAAAAAACAGACCCTGCAGGAACGGGGACTAACCTGGCTGCTGATGGGTGCGGCATCGTGTCAAGGTCAGGGGAGGGTCAAGATCAAGGTCAGGGTCATCCAGTGCGGTTTTCCTTCTCCCATGGCCTGCGTTCCTCCAATTGCTGGGACCTGGGAGGGACCTGGGCACCCGCAGCCTTGTCCACCCAAACTCGACCCTTCACCAGGTCAATCCGGAGTCAAGGAAAGTTAGGAAACCCACGGTCCCCAGGCCGCCGATGCTCCCTCACCCTCCCGTTGGGTCAGGAGCGGTGCCCAGGATGACAGCGTGACCGCCCGCCCTCCTCTCCCTGCAGTCCCCGACAGCATCATCATGAAGGTGCTGGACCAGAGGCTGAGCCAGCAGGACAGCATTCAGAAGGGGTGGGTGCTGCACGGCTTCCCGAGAGACCTGGACCAGGCGCACATGCTGCACAGCCTGGGCCACCAGCCCAGCAGGTAAGCCGCCCCCTTCCGGAAGGTCGCTGCCACTGGGCACCCCCTCCCCAGGGGCTCGGCCGACGAGGTCCCGGTGACAGCTTGCGGTTTACCAGAAGCTCCACTGCCCCTGCAGTGGCATGGCTCTTCGACACCCCCCCCCTCCCCATCCCCAGCCACCCGCCCCCTTTGCCCCGTGAACTGGGAGTCAGGCTCGGGTTCAGGTCCCGGCTCTGTCACTTACCTCGCGGGACCCGAACTTCCTCTCCTGTGAATGCCGACCCACCCCAGACAGCCTCGCCTCCCCCAGGGGATTGTGCCAGTGAACGGATGTCTCCTTCTGCCGTTTCTCCTCTTGCACGGTTTATGTTTAAACCTTCGGTGCATCGGACATGTATTCTGATGTGGGTATGGGGCACGGGCTGAGCACTTCCTCCCCAGATGGTTGGCCATTTGTTCCAAAACAGCGTCCAATGTCGTGGAACATCGCGTTCCTCCTCCGCTGACGTGCACCGGAGAGCACGCCGTCACTGTGTGTACTGTGGGAGGAAATGAGGGGGGGTTCCAGTGGAAACAAGCAAGGCTAAGAAGTCTGAGCTCGCTCTGGCGAGGGAGTCGCCACGCCGCTCGGGTTCGGCAGAGGCCCAGAGGCCGGCAGCGGAGCGGGAAGGCCTCCCGGGTGCGCCCTGCCCGAGCTGCTACCCTGGGAGGCCGGGTGGGGGGGTGGCCACCTCGAAGCGGGGCGCCCCGTGTGCTTGGCCGGGGGACCATATGTGGCTTTCTCTGGTTGGTCCTAACCTGCAAACGGTGGCAACAATTAAGGAACCTGCTAGGTATCTGGCTGTTTTGGGGTCCCTTGTAGCAGAGACTGCGACTTGGTTTGGGAGAGTTTTTGCGTTTCTAGGTACTTGGCATCTTATTGTTATCATTTCAGCTTTTCGTTATTGGCTTTTTATCTTCACGTGGCGTGTGGAGAAGTTGTTGAAGTGCAACCTCGAATTTAAAATAAAAATTATTGGCATTCTGTGGAAGGCTATTCGACAGTATTTGAAAAGAATGTGTATTTTATAAATTTTTTAATGCTTACTTTTGAGAGGGGGAGAGAGAGCGAGAGAGAGAGCGCGTGCACAAGCAGGGGAGGGGGAGAGAGGGAGACACAGAATCCAGAGCAGGCTCCAGGCTCCGAGCCGTCGGCACAGAGCCCGACGTGGGGCTCGAACTCACAAACCGCGAGATCGTGACCTGAGCCGAAGTCGGACGCTCAACCGACTGAACCACTCAGGCACCCCAAGAATGTGTATTTTAAATTTGAAGTTATAGAATTAAATATACATTATTAAGTCACACTTTTTCTTTTCTAAGTCTATTTATTTTTTTTAGTCATCTGTACACCCGATGTGGGGCTCGAACCCACAACCCCTCGATCAAGAGACACATGCTCCCCTGACTGAGCCAGCCGGCGCCCCTTAGGTCCTCCTCGATCCCCTCTGTCCTTGTCTCCTCATTGCTGTGTTTGTTTTTTGTGTCTGTCATCCTGTCAAGGACTGATTTGCTGACTTCCCGCTAACAGCGCATTTTTACTAATTTCTCTTGTTCCCTTATTTCCTGCAGCTTTTGCTTTATGTGTGTCGGTGCCGTGTTACGCAGTTCACAAAGGCTTGGGTCAGCGATATGTTCCTTGTGAAATGTCGCCCTGATGGAAGTGACCGTCTTTGACACGACCGCGGGGTGTCTGAGCTCCCCCTGTGCCCCTCCTCAGTAGCAAAACATCGGTATCAGAGAGAGAGAGAGAGAGTCTATGTTGCAGTCTGCCTCAGGACCTCCCAGGTTCTGGCCAGAGAGGTAGAAGGCACACACTGATTCTTCTAGAACAGCCGCTCTCGGGGGCCAGCTCCACCGGAAGGCGCGCCTTTTGGTCTGTTTTGCCTTTTTAAATTTTTCTTATTTCGTCGTTCCTGAAGCTCACAATCACCTTGCTTTTTCGCTTGCCTACCTTTCTTTGTATCTATGTGCTAACTAGTTCCACTCCTTATTAGAGCGCCTCCGAATAGTTTGCCACAAGGTCCGTCAGGCTATGTAATCTGTCGGCCGCAGGCTTTTTCTTTCCCTCTGATTCCTCTCTCTCGGTTGGACTGTTTTTGTGTTTTGTTTCCTCTTGGCTGACGGCATGGCTGTTGTCAGACTTACCCACTGTGGCATCACGGGAGTTTCTTTGTCCTTCTCCTGTTTTCCGAGCCCCATACTCTTCCTCCGTCTGGCCTCCAGCTGTTCCTCGAGTTAAAAAGGTGGTTTTAGGGGCGCCTGGGTGGCTCAGCCGGTTGAGCGTCTGACTCTTGGTTTCGGCTCGGGTCATGACCTCATCGGTTCTCGAGTTCAAGCCCCGTATCTGGCTCTGCACTGACAGCACGGAGCCTGCCTGGGATTCTCTCTCTCCATCTCTGTCTCTGCCCCTCCTCTGCTCTCTCTGTCTCTCAAAATAAACAAACATAAAAAAATAAATTTTAAACAACGGTGGTTTTAACAGAAGGAGGCTGTCCTGTCCTCAGCACACTTGTTCCAGACTGAAGAGGTCCCCCTCCACCCCCTCCACGGATGCACGGTCATCCCGATGCTCCCGTGCACGAGCACCTGAAGGTTCCCTTCGCCCCCCTCCCACGTGAGGAAGCTTGTTTCCACGTGTCCCGATTTTCTTTCTCTTGGTTTACTGCCTTGTTTTGGTCAAGCACATCCGTCGGTAGCTTCCTGAGAAAGGTTGTGTGGGAGATAAATTTTTTGAGACTTGGTACGGCCCGAAGTGCCTTTATCCTACCTTCCTACTTGCGGGGTCGGTTGGTGGGGCCAGGAAGTACCCCAGTCGCCTTCCCTCCGCCATTTTGAATCGCTGTTAAGAAGCCCAATGCCAGTGTGATTCCTGGTTCTTCGTACGTCGTGGCCTTTTTTCTTCTCTCTGGAACTTGGTAGATCTTTCCTTCATCCCCAGGGTCGTAAAGCTTCACTATAAGATTTCATTCGTTTCTTTGGCGTGGGTCTGGTTTACTTGGTTGTCCCCGAAGCTAATCTGGAATGTTCCTTTTAAATTTTATTGATCTTGTTAAATGAATTATTCTATCTCTGGAAATGTTCGTGACAGGCTTGTTATTGCAGGAGGTGGGGGTTTCCCCTTTCTGTTAAGGTTTTGTCAGTCTTTATTTTTTTTTTTTCTTCTTAACTTATTTATTTTGAGACAGAGAGAGAACAGGGGTGGGGCAGAGAGAGAGGGAGAGAGAGAATCCCAAGCAGCCTCCGCTGTCAGCGTAGAGCCCAATGCGGGGCTTGAACTCACAAACTGTGAGATCATGACCTGTACCGAAACCGAGAGCCGGACGTTCAACCGACCGAGCCAGCCACGTGCTCCAAGGTTCTGTCTGTCTTGGCCTCGTCCTTTCTCAGTAGATTCTTTTGTTGGTTTGTCGGTCTGATTGTTTTTCAGATGTCAGGTCACCCTTGGTGGTTTGCTCCAGTGTTAGAGTAGGGGATTAAGATGTTAGTGGGTGGGACCTTGTGGCCCGTGGACTTTGTCTTCATGGAAGGGCGGTCTCTTGGGGCCATTTATGCAGAACCCTCCGCCAAACTCCCCCACGCTGCTCAGCTTTGTCCAAGAGGACTCGTTCAGCCTCCTGCCAGATGGTGAGGTTCTGGGGTCCAGGGGGGAGCAGGACAGTGGAAGGCAGGCGGAAACGGAAGGAGGCATCGCTTGCTGCAGGCCATGTGCATATTTTTTATTTATTTCCCCTAATTTCGGTACAGATGCAAGCTCTGACCTGTGCTTGGCATTCCTCGGCCCAAGGAGCCTGAACTATACCTTCTCTAGAGCAGAAACCTTCCATTTCTACCCAAGTGGAGGAGGAGAGACACTGGCCCAGCAAGACGGTGTGAGGAGGGGATCTGGGGCTTAATCTCTTCAACCAGTCCTCCTTATTTCAGCCGCCGGTTCCAGAGTGGTGCCTGTGCCTGAGCCTTTGAGGGTTTGCTGGTGAACGCTGGGTTTGTTCTCAGCCGTTCCTACTGCTGACTCGGGGTTGGCCGTTGGGGTCTCTGCAGCTGGTTGCCCCCTGCACACCTGCTTTCCAGCCCCGGACATTTTGTGTCCGTGTCCCCTTCCTCCGTTCTCTCTGTCGCGTCGGGTCGGTTTCTAAAGCCCCTTGAGTCATTTTTTCGCGGGGGGGGGGTGGGGGGTGCTTTGGGAGGAAACAGTTTGGTGCGTGTTTCAATGTGATATTCGTACTTGGAACTCAGCCCGCGGCCTCTTTTTTTTTTTTTTTTTTTAATGTTTATTTATTTTGAGAGAGAGACAGAGAGAGAATGAGCAGGGGAGGGCAGAGAGAGAGAACACAGAATCTGAAGTAGGTTCCAGGCTCCGAGCTGTCAACACTGGAAACCTGGCCATGGCTTGACTCACAAACTGAATCTTGGCCTGGGCGAGTCAGACACTTAACCGACTGAGCCACTCAGGCGCCCAGCCCGCGGCCTCTTTGTGGCACCTGTGTAGCCCCACTTTTAGTTTCAACTAGTTTGCTTCCCTTATTTTTTTGTTATCGTCTGGGACAGAATGAAATTGGGCTTAATGTGTTTTACTCAACCTGCTTTTTTTATTCCTTGAATAGCTGAAAATATCCCACTTATTTTTGCCTTTATCACTTTATTTTATGCTTCACTGGGGCTTCCTTGTTTTCTTAAAATTTTTTTTAATGTTTATTTACTGAGACAGAGAGAGACAGAGCATGGCAGGGGAGGGAGCAGAGAGGCACAGAATCGAAGCAGGCTCCAGGCTCTGAGCTGTCAGCACAGAGCCAGGCAGCGGGGCCGAACCCGACCATGAGATCATGACCTGGGCTGAAGTCGGACGCTCAACCAGGCCACCCAGGCACCACAGGGTTTCCGCTCTTTTCTTTGGTTATTTACTTATTTTTTTCGATAAGCGCTACATAATGTAGAGCTCGAACTCGCGACCCCAAGAGCTCCGTGCGGCACCGTCCATGACT